TATGTATCAGTTTGGTTACACGTTGAGCCCAATTTCTGTTTTAACTCAGCACCCCAACCAACAAACCAACCAACCAATGAACCAACCAAGACGATCACCTTAAAACCGCCATCACCAAACCACCACGTTTGATTTATCGATCGACATTTTTTTCAGGGGGTATTTTTATTACGTTTTGATCCCTCTTCCTCCACTCCTCAGCCCCTTCCCACCCTTTTTTCGCATACATTTCGCGGCCACTAACCACGAAAAGGAAAACCATGAAAGAAACGAGATGATGATCTTTCTCTTAACTTCGTATTTCTTCTTCAATTTTTTTTTACAAATAAAATATATATATATATATATATATATAGATTATATTTATTATTGTTTATTTCTATTAGAATTTTTATTATTAAAAATTAATGGGATTTGTTATTGGTTTATATCAGTGAATTATTTTCGTTATTTTTTTTGTTTCTTCTTTTTTACATTTTTTTTTTGTTTTTAATATTTATAATTTATGGTTTATAGTAAAATTACATTTATTAATTATACTTAAATATTAATATATAAATTATAATATATATGTATTAATAATATATGTATTTTAAAATTATAATTATAATGATAAATAAATTATAAATATTAAATATTATTATAATAATATTATTACTATATATAAATATATATATATATATATTATTTTAATATTATTTAAATTATAATTATAATTATAAATAAATTATAAATATTAAATATTATCATATATATTTATTAAATTTTATTTATAGTAATTTAATTTAATTTTATTTTATTTACTTTATTTAAATTTTATTTAAATTTTATTTAATTTATATTTAAACTTATTATATATATTAAATTATATTAAAATATAATAATTATATATATATATAGATATATATACCTAATATGGGGTAACGTTATTATATACAAAATTGGATCATTGATATTCATGAATGAAATTTGATAATAATTTTCTTTTTTGTATTAATTTCTTTTGTGTATTATCAATGAATTTCTCTTGCAATAGAATCAAGTATCCTTTGAAAGGTAACATCGTCTAATCCAGAAAAGGGTTTATCCAATGCGAAGGGTGAAATGGCATAACGTTTCTTTCGTCTTCGACGAAATATATCGTCGTAATCGTCATCAGAAGTAGGTGGATTTACTTTAGCGTAATACAATGCTGCAAATCCGCTGTAAATTAACAAAGCTGCTGTGGCAAGCTGTAAAATCAAATTTATGTAATATTAAATATAGTATTTTCTTGTCTACAATTATTTAATTAACACGTTCCATGCCAAACCCTTTTCTACCTGACTTGTCATTCAGGCATGTCATTTAATTTTCCTTGAACAAAATCAACCATTACACATGTAATTATTAATTATTGTTAATATAACAATTAAACAAACTTATATGCTTTGTTATCTACTGCATTTTGTATAATGAATCAATATTTTAATAGAAATATTTTTCAACAGAATTAAACATATATTTTCAGTGCATTAAATAAATATGTTTGATGGTTAGTGTACCATCGGTGATACACGTGGCCTGAAGAACAAGTTTAACGTGTACCACCAATTGTACACATGACACAGAACGTGTTAATAATTTTGATATATTAGGTAATTAGGAAAGTCGAAAGTTTCGTTTTTCTTTTGTAAAAATGAAGATATAATTTGTACTTTGAGGTTAAACCTAAATCTTTTCGAGTGGTCATAAATAGTTGAATTTGATCAATTTAACCTATCGATCGATCTCACGTGTTACTATTTGTCGTTTTGCATCAACTAATGCCAATCATTATTGCGTCAGCAATAAACCAAACGACTTTCCGAACCACACACCTAATAATTATATTACATATTGAAATATTACGCATACTTGAAATACGGCCCAAAATTTGTAACTTCCTTCGTTTATAAGAAAATCATAGTAACCGGCCCAATAATCGGTTTGCGGTTGACTTATAGCTTTCATATCGTTGTGATCATCGTTTTCATCCTGATCATGATCATGATGATGATGATCGTCCTTATCATCATAATCGTTCATGTAGTCTGGAACATTCTCGTCTGGTTTTTTATTATAACCACGACGATAATATCTCGATCTTCTACTACTACTTCAAACGAAACATGAAAACAAACAAACAAAAAATTACATCCTTCATTCAGTGGAAAAACTTTTTATATATTTTATTTTTATTTTAACACACTCGAACAATCATCCTTTCAAGAAACAATACACACATACATTGATGATTTCAATTATTTCAAATATAAAAAAGATATTCTTGATGATTATTGAATTGGTTCTGTTACCTGTAAGATTGAAGTTCCGTGTTTTCTCGATCAACAGGTGTCTTCGTAACAGGTTGAAAATTAATCATAGTAGTTGATATCGAATCTAAGTTTGTTTCTTTCGTCGATACATGATCGAGGTAAATGAAAATGACGAGTAATCGAATAAATCGATCGGTATGCATTCTGTTGGAATAAATTTATCATAATTATTATATTTTATTCAAAGTATATTCCTTGATTGAGTTTAGAAATCAAAAAAAAATAAAATAAAATAAAGGAAAATAATAATAAAACATTAACTCACCTAAATGTATATGTCAAAATCACTATGATATTTATTTCAATTATTTATTTTATTATTAATTTTTATATATATATATATTTTTTTTGATTATATTAAATTGGATTTTTAGATTTAATATTTTTTATTTTAATATAAAATAAATTTGAATAGTTTTATATATTTTTTTTTATTATTTTAATTATATATTAAATTATATTATTAAAATATTATTTAATTTATGAATAAACCAATTGATTTTTCAATGATATTCTTTCGTAAGAAAGAAAGAAAGAAAGAAAAAAAAACGAAGAAAGCAATAAAAAAAAAAAAAAAAAC